CAGGGGGCGCAGCAGCACTGGGGATGGGGGGAGTTTGCTGGCTGCTTTTGGGAGTGGTGCAGAGCCAGGACAGGGTGAGGCTGCCTTAGCCCCACTGCACCACCCCCCAGGAGCCACTGAGGTAAGCGGAGCCCCTCTCACACTCCAGATCCCTTAGCCCAAGACCAGAGCCTCTGCCCCGACCCTCTTGCCCACCCCCCTCCCCGGTGAAAGCGAGGGAGGAAGGGGAGGAAGGAAGGATGGAGTGAGCAGGGGCGGGGCCTCGGAGGAGGGGCACAAAGGAGGCGGGACTAGGGTATTTGGGTTTGAGGTAGATCTTGGATGGCACTTACATTCAATAAGTGATCTCATGCTTAAAAATGTTGGCGACCACGGGCCTAGTGTCTACACTGGGGGTGGGGAAACTCTTTTTTGGGGGGAGGGGCACTGACCCACAGAAAATTCAGTCGGGGGCCGCACACAAGTGAGACACAAGGAAAACCCCACAAACCTCACGGAGGTGGCCCCCGACTGAGAAGGAGAAAGGCACTCCCCACGTTCCCCTCGCACACCAGAGCCTGGGGGCCTCAGCTAGTAGAGTTTCAGTGCCCCAAACCCTCGGGGAGAGGGCAGGGGGCTGGAGTGCCAGCCCAGGCTCCCCAGTGTTAGGGGAGGGAAGCGCTGAGCCTCAGGGACCAGATCCAGGCAAACCAGGGGCCAGATCCGGTCCCCCGGTCCTGAGGTTCCCCATCCTTGGTCTACACTGACCAGCCAGAAAGAGCGGGAGAGGAAACAGAGGCACAGGGCTGTGATGTGACATGATCACAGTTACTCAGTACGCCAAGGGCACAGCAGGTCTCCTGGTGCCCAGGCCAGTGCTCAATCCACTAGGCCACACTGCCACTTAACTCTTGTACTTCCCTGACCCTCCCAGCCAAGGCACAGTCCCAGACGCCTGTGTCTGCTGATGCCCATTCCTAGCCCCACGAGTTCCTCGCCCGGAGGGGCTGGGGCTCTGCCCTGCCCTGCCCTGCCCTGCCCTGCCCACAGGGGCCAGCCTTGGACTGTCCCTTGACTGGCTGCAGCCACAGGGGAAGCTGGCTGGTCAGGTGAGGGCAGGATCCTGGCCTTGACGTGAGCTCTTCCCAAGGGATCTGAAACTTGTGGGTGGAGTCTGCAGGAAGCACTAGCTGGCCTGTTCACCCGCTTACACCACTTGCCTCCACCCCCACCTCACCCCCTATCTGCTTCCTCCCTCACCACCGATATAAATCAGCTTCCTGCCCCTGCTGCCTCTCGTCCTCCCCCAGAGCCCGGCCAGGGAGTGGACACCAGCTGGGGGCTCGCTTCATCCCACCCCTTGCCTGACTTTCGCTGTGGTCACTTTCGGTAGGTCCTACTTTATCCCCCTTCTGTGGGTGAGCTCCCAGCCTTTGGTGGCGAGTTGCGGGGGGTGGAGGGGGAGAGGGGGTGACTGAAATTGGCTCTTCATGATGGGCACTAATTAGCTGGCACCAGACCCTGGCTGGCTGTCTCTGCTGACGGGCTT